CCCTTAAAAGGAGTAAAGGTTTTTGGTGTGTGCTCCTGTGGAAAAAAGGACTGCAGTCACGATACATGAGAATTGGTCGCCGCGGATTTGCCTGATCTGCGGAATAGAGCCCTGAGGTAAGGAGACACTCAAAATGGGGCAGGATGCTAGTAGTCATGAAAAATTTGTAGAAGGGCTTAAGGCCTCATTAAAGACACGGGGAGTAAAGGTTAAGAAAAAGGATCTTATACAATTTTTTGTTTTTTTAAAGGACGTTTGTCCTTGGTTCCCCCAGGAAGGAACTATAGATGAGAAAAGATGGAAACGGGTGGGAGATTGTCTTAATGATTATTTTAGAACTTTCGGGCCCCAGAAGGTCCCTGTTACTGCGTTCAATTACTGGAATTGTATTTACGATATTTTGAAAATACGTCCTTTTGAGATGGAGGTTTGTAAGATTGTCAGTGAAAAAGACGGAGGCCCCCCCGGAGCCTCCTTGTCCATTACCAGCCCCACCCGCAACAGAGGATGAGTCTAGGAAGGATTGTGATTCTGTGTCCATCGACATGCCCTTAGATGATTTCTCCTCCCAAAGTAGGAGAGTTGAGCGCATTTATCCTGTTTTACAAGAGGCTTTGGTCTAGAGGTCAAATGATACCTTAGATCCTACTGATGCAGCTGACCTTGAGCAGGAGGCTGGTTCTTATAATGACCCCTGTAATTTCAGTGCCGCTCCTGCATGTCTTCCTACTATACAGCACTCTGCTTCTGCGCCCGCTGCTCCTGCTTCTCCACTCCCAACCCCTCATCTTCCTGCTTCTCTGCCCCCTTCTGCTCCCCCTTATTATACTCTTCCCCCTTTTCCGCCTGTTGACACTTCCTTGACCTCGCTCCCCTCTCAGATTCAGTCCCTCCCACAGACGTTGATGTTTAAGAAAGAGAAAGCACAGCTGCTTAAGGAACTACGGCTCCTTGATTTGGACTCACTGATTGCATCCCTGGCCCGGCTGTTGCTCTCACTGCCCCTACAGTAACCTCCAAACCCAAATCCGAATCCCCTGTTTTGGCCCCCCTCCCCCACACTTAACCTACGGAGGGAGGACCTGGGCCCCTTTAAAATGGAAGAAGTTTAAGGAGTTAAAAGAGGCACTAAATACAGCCTTTGCAGCTGTTTCCCAATGTGCCCTACGGGCTTTTTGTAAGATTCAGGCTTTGGGGAAACAAAGGCCCTCCCTGACCAAGATTTAAAAAGGTCCTGATAAACCCTTCCTGGATTTCGTGGCCGCCTACAGGCAGCAGAAGTGCTGAAAACAAAAGAGACTAAATTGTACTATCTATACGGAAAAGCCAGTCAGTTTAAGGCACAATGCCGCCAGAAACCTGGTGGAGCCTGCTCTAAGGCAATTTGTTACAATTGTAACAAATCTGGCCATTATGCCCATTATACTAAAGAATGCTGCAAGCCAGTCAGGAGGCGGGGCAAGGAGGGCCCCTCAACAAGCTTACCAGATGGAAGCTCCACCCCCTCAGAATGCGCCCTCGGGGCTGCATCAGGAAAATCTCCAACTTTTACTGGTGGTTCAGACTTCCCCTTTACAGCAAGAGAATTTTCCAAATCGACCCCGGTGGTTGCTGGTTTGAGATACAATTTATGGGGAAGGGATATTTTGAAGGCTTGTGGTGCATCTGTTTATATACCACCCCCGCAGGATTTTTAATTGGGGCCGTTGGGCAACAGCAAAATTTTTCTTGTATCAGACCCACTCCTCTAACATGGAGATCTAATAACCCAGTCTGGGTACCCCAATGGCCCCTCCCTGCAGAGAAAGCCCAGGCTTTACGTGATATAGTGCAGCACCAGTTACAGGTGGGGCACACTGAGCCCACGTCCAGCCCCTGGAACAGCCCAGTGTTTGTAATAAAAAAGAAATCAGGGAAATTTCGAATGTTAATAGATCTCAGGGCGGTTAACACCACCCTAGAGCCCATGGGAATCCTACAGCCTGGCCTTCCCTCCCCTAATTTAGTGCCATCTGGATGGCCTGTGACAGTCATAGACATCCAAGATTGTTTTTTCTCTATCCCATTATCCCCAGAAGATAGAAAAAGATTTGCCTTTACCATACCCACTACCAATAATGCAGGACCAGATTTAAGATATCAGTGGAAGGTCCTGCCCCAAGGAATGTGCTGCAGTCCCACCTTATGTCAGGCTTATGTGGGGAGAGTGCTGGACCCTATCAGGGACAAATGGCCTAAAGCCACAATACTTCATTATATGGACGATATTTTATTAGCCACCAGCAGTGATGAAACATTAGCAAGATTAGTAAAAGAAACCGTCTCTGCACTTGCTCATTATGGTTTGGTGGTGGCCCCTGACAAAGTCCAACAAAATTACCCACTCATATACCTAGACCTTCGTATGGAGGCTGTCTCTATTAGCAATCAAATTCCTGAACTAGGGCTTGATAAGATAACCACCTTGAATCACTTCCAAAAGTTAGTGGGACAGATCCAATGGCTCAGGGCCCACACACCCATTCCTCCTGCTGTAATGCAGCCTTTATATGATATCTTAAAAGGAAATTCAGATTTAAACTCCCTTCGGGCATGGACTCCTGCTGCTAAGGCAGCAGTGTCCCAAATATTCTCACTTGCTGCCCAGGCCCAGACCGCCAGATGGGACCCCAAAGGTAGAATAGAGGTCTCCTTGGTCAATTAACAGAGTCCTTTTTGTGTTATACACCAAGGTCCCAAATTATTAGAATTTGTATATGCAAAGAAGGCTCACAAGTTACTGCCAAATTATTATGAGATGTTAGGGGAACTAGCCTTAGCTGCAGTACAAAGGGCTGTCCACTTGTCTGGACAACGACCTTTACTTTACTCGAATTCTGAACCTGGACAGCGAGAAGCCATTATGCAAACCTATTGGTCTTGGGCACATTGCTCCCAATGGGCTGAGATAAGTCCTCATTCCTCCTGTCTGCTTCTCCCTATGCTAGAGCAAATAACCTTAGCACCACCCCAACGAAAGGTTATGGGAGAACCTGTTCAAGGCTCAAATGTTTTCACTGATGCTACAAAAAACTATAAGGCCTCTATTTATCATGAGGCCTCCAAGGAAATAACAGTATTAGAAACCCCCTATGACTCTACCCAGAAAAATGAGCTCTTTGCCATCCTCCAGGCTTGCCGTAAATATCCTGAGCCTATAAACATAATCTCTGATAGTCTATATGCAGTAAAGGTTCTTAAATGCATAGAGGACGCTGTCCTCCAACCTCATAAGTCCACCATATCCTCTCTCCTGAGGGAATTACAGCAAATTTTGTTGCAGCGAAAAAACCCCCTTTACATTCTCCATGTTTATTCTCATCAGTCCACCTCAGGAGGCATTTTTGAGGGCAATGATGTAGCAGATCGTGCTTTACAGTGCTCCCTACTGCCAGGCCTCACCCCTCCTGAACAAGCCCATGATTTTTTACACCTACCAGCGAGCTCCCTGAGACGCCTGTATGGTTTAACTCGTGAACAGGCTCGACAAATTGTGAGGCGATATGTGCGCTGTGTTCCTTTTCTGCCCCCTCCACCCAGTAAGGGGATTAACCCACGAGGTCTTTTTCCTAATGCCCTATGGCAAATGGATGTGACTCATGTTTCTGATTTTGGTCATTTAAAATATATGCATGTCTCCGTCGATACTCACAGCGGCTTTCTCTCTGCCACCTTGCAGAGTGGTGAGGCCTGCCGCCACATGATAGATAGCTCATGTCCTCTCTTGCCTCACTGTTATGGGCAAGCCCGAGTCTATTAAAACCGATAATGGGCCTGGCTATGCTGGTACAGCTTTTCGCTCCTTCTGTGCCACCCTTGGTATCTCTCATGTCACAGGCATTCCTTATAATCCTCAAGGGCAAGGTATTGTGGAACGGGCCCATCAAACCTTAAAAAACACTATTACCAAACTTCGAAGAGGGGCATTCTACCCGGTCAAAGGATCCCCCCGGAACCTGGTCAGCCATGCTCTTTTCATATTAAATTTTCTTCAATTGGATGATACTGGCAAATCAGCGGCTGATAGGTTTTGGCACCTCGAATCCCAGCACAATTATGCCAAAGTACTGTGGAAAGATCCCCTTACTAACCAGTGGCAGGGTCCCGACCCTGTTCTTATTTGGGGTCGGGGTTCGGTCTGTATATATATTAAAGAAAAACAATCTGCTCGCTGGCTTCCTGAGAGGCTTATAAAGCAAGTTGATTCCTGTAAAATGGCTTCTCCGCCTCCAGTTAACCTTCCTTCCAGGGAGGACAAACCTCTCTGAGAAATATTTCTTTTCTTTATCTACAGGAAATGCTTGGAAAACAATCACCCCTACGCTGGTACCTCCTGGCTGTCCTGAGGGTCGGCCTTGCTGGTTTTGACACCCCGGCCGGCAACGATCTCCTCGCCTCCCTTTTAGGATTCAACTGATCCCTTTGAATCAGTCACTCTTTGTAGCCCCCTGCTTTGAGGGTACCACTCCCAATGCCTCTGTCTCCATTGATGTGGGTTTTCTCCCTCATGTGAATTGTTCCTCTGTCCTTCGTACTAGCAGTTTCCTATGTCCCCCTCTAGGCCATGTTTTTCTCTGCGGAGGGAATATGGCGTTCCCAGCGTTGCCCGTAAATTGGACTATTTTTGCTCCATTGCCTCCGTTCTACCTGAGATGGATATTGTTCCGGGGAACGAGCCTGTTCCGGTTCCCAGCCTCGACTTTATGGCTGGAAGACATAAAAGGGCCGTATTTGCTATTCCCTTGCTTGTTGGCTTGGGCATTACGGGAGCCCTTGCGACAGGGTCTGGGGGCTTGGGAGTCGCCATACACTCCTATAATAAACTCTCTGCACAGCTCATTGATGATATCCAAACCTTATCAGGAACTATTAGTGATCTCCAGGACCAGATCGACTCTCTAGCCGAGGTGGTCTTGCAGAACAGAAGGGGATTGGATCTCTTGACAGCCGAACAAGGGGGTATATGCTTGGCCTTACAGGAGAAATGTTGCTTCTATGCTAATAAGTCCGGTGTAGTCCGGGACAAGATAAAGAAATTACAGGATGATCTAGTCAAGCGTCGGAGAGAACTGTTTGAAAATCCTTTTTTAAGTAATCTTCATGGCTTTCTTCCTTATATTTTACCTCTTGTAGGGCCTATATTTGTGTTTTTATTAGCTCTAACCTTCGGTCCTTGGGTGTTCCGGAAGATCACCTCCTATGTCAAACAACAGCTGGACAAGGCCTTGTCCAAACCTATTCAGGTCCATTATTGTCGGCTGGATACTGGCGACCCTGATCTTTATACCGACATTGGCCGGTCCCAAGGATTAGTCTGAGCGCTGGTTTGATTAGCCAATGACGGGTAAGATCCCCCTGAGGGGAGTCTGACCTAAGCCAGGGGCGTTGCCTTGCATATTGCCCCCATGACGGGCAACAGTCTCCCACTCCTCGGGACAACCTAAGACAGGCACAAACCCCTCTGCTAAACCTTCCCTCTTAAGGAAAGAAAAGGGGGACATGTAAGGGACCACAGGCCCAGTATGACCTCTGGAAAATTACTAGGTTG